AATTAATTTTTGTTAATTAATATTTAAATAATTTTATTTATACATTTTCTATCAATTTAGTACACTTTAAAAATTAATTTTTGTTGAGTGCTAGCATTTGCTTTACCACCTTGCTTTTGAGTTTTGACTCTTGTAAAACCGATGGAGAATACATATTCCCTGAACAAAACTATTTCTACTTTATTCAATATCAGAAGCACTACAATCAAATCATGAAAATTCTAATGACTATTTCTTTTTCTTTTCTCGTCATTCCTCACTGCTAAATTCCTCAAGAAACAGGATTTGTGGAAAGTAAAAAATAAAATTCATTATCATGATTGTTATGTATTCAAATTCAAAATGAATCCAATATACAATCCCTATTTCCGATTTTTTTTTTTTTTTGCCATCAAATTCCCATTTGAGGTTGGTCCCATGATTTATACAATAATTATTGAAACATATTAATTATTAAGCTAATAACGTGTGAAAATGAAAATCGATTACAAGACAATGGAAGATTAATGATGTATTGACTATTTTTTGGAGAAAACTACACAAACAAGTTGGTCAAGCAAATGCCTCCACTAGCTTATAATTAAGAAATTTCAGGAAAATTTTGGGTTGATTTGATTGACTTTATATGAATGTTGGATATGGGGAAGGAACCCTCCTTCCTTGATATGACTTGGAAGATTAATAATGTACATGCTTTTGTTTGAGCGACTAAGCTTGCCCCCATTATCAAACAATTAATGTACATTACATAAGCATAGATTAATTATTATTTAAAAAAAAAAATGCTCAAATTTAATAGTCCATAGACAAGCCACGTGCCTTGATTCCCAACACAGCCTGTTTAAGCTTGTTCTCCAGTGCAAACAGAGAGACCAAAAGAAATTTCAGGATGCATGAAACCGTTACATAACATGCTTAAGATCCATTAATTTCAATCATAATTTTGCAATAATTGTGATTTTTTTTTTCTTTTTGCAGGTGGCTTTTAAATTATTCTGCTTTTGTGCTTAGAAGCCTTGAGCTTATTGATGGATGGAGGATGGAGGATGGTATATATTTATTAATTGTGTAATGTTATTAATATGTTACATGATGGGAGGTGACTTATTTTACTTATTTCACAACCATGTAGATATTGTCATTATTATAAACTTACAAGATTTTAGTATGCTATTTTAATGCAAAAATAAAAAATAAAAAAGGACATGGATTTACTAGGCATTGTTTGGGAAAATGCCATTGTTGTTTGTTATAATTTAAACATATAAGTTGCAAATTGGGCCATCTTTTGCCAGTATTTAAGTCTTATACTGTTTGTTTGTTTGTTTAGGGTCCAGCCTAATAAGAGTAGCTAAAACACTGCATATGCTGCAAAATTAGCATTCTTTTACAACCTTTTAGTCATTATTTAATTTTACCCTCAAAATCTCATCTATTTTAGGTTTGGATATCCCTAAAATGCAACAAGAAGTTTTTGTCCTTGATGCTGGCAAGTACTATGTAAGTTCTTTCTGCTCTTTGGTAAAGAAAGAATGGGAGGGACAAGAAATTCAATTTTCATGTCCTGTTAGGCGTGATTTATTAAGATATTGGGGTTATGGAATTCAAACTTAAAGCCTCTCAAAATCTTTAATCTATATATCTATATCTCTAACTCTTGAACCAGAACTTGAAATCAATATCTTTCAAATTTTCAACATGTTTTCTATAAACTAAGATTTAATTAGGGCTCATCACTCTATTAATAGTAAAAGACATGTAATTTTTTGTAGCGCCAATTACAACATTCTTAATTTTTAGTCATTATTATCATTTCTTGATTTGGTAACCATAAAAAACATCGGTTAAATAATTCATTACAACACAAGGCGTCCAACTAAATGTAGCGTCATGCAATAAAGGCAGCCATGAACATTGATAGGTGGAGCATGTGAGAGCTATATGCAAAGCTAAGAAGCCATGTCAATGGGACATTTTCCTAGCTTGTTTAAAGGTTGCATGTGAACTGTACCATGTCAGTTAATTGTAAGGATAAAAGAAGAACAAACAATCAACCTAACAATAATGCTGAGGTTGGGTCTTTTTTTTGCTATTTTTAGATATAATCATCAGTGAATTGTCCTGTATCAAACTGCCCTCGTCCTGGAGCAACAAGGGCCCAATAAAAGTTAAGATCTCTCCTAGAATGTAACTAAATAAATGGAACCAATAATGGCTGTAATTCATCCCCTTGTAACTAAATAAATGGAACCTATGCTAGTCATTGAAGTCTTGAATTGGAGGAGTTAGAGGTAGGCAAAACCCCCAAATCCACCCCTCAAGTAAGAGGTAGAGACAGATCCACTCTTTAAAAATATGTAGGGACAAAATTATCCTTCCAAATTATAAATCGAAACAAATCACTTATTTTTGAACATGTGACATCAAAGTTCTATTTGCCACGTAAGTATTTTTAACGGAAACTTGACATCACACGTTAAAAAATGAGTGATTTGTCTCGATTTATAACTTGAAGAGATAATTTATCTTTATATTTTTTTGAAGGGTAGATTTGTCTTTATCCCCGTATTTGAGGGGTGGATTTGGGGTTCTGCCTCAGAGTTCTATGTTTGAATTTTCCTTATTTTTATGCGATTAACTCAATATATCAAGCTCTAAAATTAAAATGTTAAAATTTGTGGGCATGAACTCAATTAAATTTTTGTTAATACAATATATTGCAAATAAAATTAATAACTTTTTTATGTTAACATTGAGATATATATCCATTTCCTTTCCTTGTTGTCCAAAAGAGCAGAAGCTACACCTTACAATCTTGCTTCATGAAGCCAATGATTTTCGAGAATATGTTCAAAATGTACCCTCCATATTAGTCAAAGATCTTGGCTAGAGAGTGAGGATGCAGGTTGAGCTTTAATTTGTTTTCTTTCCTTGTGACCCATTCTTTCATAAATCTACCGTTTGATGTTATCACTTAAGTTTTTTTTTTTTAATACAAAATCATGCATGTTAATAAAAGTAAGCTATCTTACATCTCTAAAGTCTAATCTCTAGTGCAATGATGGACCATAAATGGATAGTTAGGGGGAGGAACATGGTGTGAGGTTTGTGTCCAAACACATTCCAAGGCCGCCAGGACGAGCAGGATAGTGCTATCTCCGCCTTTGCATGCTCAGTTATGGTTGTGATCGGTCATCGTCCTTACTGTATGATATCACCTTTGGCGATGCCTTAAGTTCACTGACAGCAGAGTCAATACCCCTTCAGGAACCTTCATGCAGCTACAATATATTGCAATGGTGCAAGGCCATCCAAGAAGGACTTGCTATGTGGAGAGCCACTTTTATGTGTTATAAATACCCCTCAACTACCACATTTAAGATACATTCATTACACTATTTTCTCTCTTCTAAAAATTGTATCCTCAAATATTATCTCTAAGTATTGACATAAATATCGAAGTGTTTATCTTGAGAAACATTCTTAGTTCTTGTAGATCGTAAATGATGCATATAATCAATGTCAGAATGCTAAAGGAGAGATATAGAGACCATAGCAAATGTATTTTTCCAGGAAGCGATCAAGACATGAATCTAAATTGAAATATCATTCTAAGCTGAGGTAATAGAGACATTGAAAGTCATAAATGTTCTGCACCTACTTGAACATTTAGGAAGATTTGATCACTTCTGAAATGCTGAGGGAAAATCGTTTTTGGGATTCCGTAATTGTGTATTCTAGAGCACATTTCTCTCAGGAAGCACCAAAAGAACTCAATTTGAATGCTTTGTGGTTCAACAACATGATGGATTTATTGAGTTTCAATGCAATGTCGAGGTGCTTCACAAATTAGTGCGAAGATGTATCTTCTAACTTAGGGAGCACAAAAGGGACCCTCAATGAATGTCCAAATAATGATGCTAAAGAAAAATAATTTTTTTGACCAAACCATTTCCACTCTACAACTAAAGATCAAATTTTCCATGCAGATTTTCAAGTTGTAGTACATGCATGATCATAAATGGGGAAATAATATCGAATTGGAAGCGGTACGGAGTGAGCATGATGGAGTGAAAGGTGAATTAAAGGAAAGAGACAATCCAATGAATCCATCGGAGGAGCATATTGCGCAGAATTGCTTGGTGAATTCAACAGTTTAACTCGGGGTTGTCCTGTCCAGCCTGAGTGGCCTAATGTGGTGCCACAGACCCTTGCCTTAAAAATCATCAGCATAAGGTGGAAAATTATTTTTTTTAAAACAATTAAATAATATATTTAATCAATTTACACGCATTAAATTAAGTGCATTTTTTAATTTAATCAAAGATAAATCATCCACTTGAAACAATGAAATTCATGAAAAGATGCAATCTCATTGACCTCCCCGAACAAACGATTGCCTATCATCAAGGTAGGAAGCAATCAAAAAGTTCCATCAACATTCATTCATTCATTCATATGCCTACAATTGTAATAATGCAATCTCTTAGGTCAACCCTAGCCTCCACGTCTAGCCTATGTCGTGTGGGCCTTAATAGCAAGGTAGTCT